CAGAATAATTTATAACAATATGAACAGAAAAGTTTATTTATGGTTGTAGTGACTATTGTACTTTCTTCTTCAAGGTTTCGATAAATATCGGAATTTGTCATCTTTTAGAGGCTAATATATAGACTGGAGGACTCCCGAACTTAGGAATTTCTGATTTAAATTTGGAAATTTTAATGTTTGAAAATGTAAATGTGTATAGAAAGTAAGTCACAATTTAAAATCAATGCCAACATAGATTCGTTCTGCTTTTAGTCATCTAGATTACATGCTAAACGCCTTGCATCCTAATGATACGTGTGATTTTTACGGTATATTTTAAGAACAGTAGAAAAATATGTTAATTTATTGGATTTAATTACGATATCAAAATTATGAGATAAAATTCTTTAAGTTTGAAGTCATCTAGATTACAGTCTAACCGACTTGCATCCTAACGAAATAGATGGCTTCAAAGGTATATTCTTTTTAGAACAATTGTAAAATATTAAGTTAAATTTATTGACTTTAATTATGACATGAAATTTATGCGATGAAATTTTTAATATTTATATTTTCCATTAATTTCCCATTACAAAATGTTACTCGTCCTGTACATGCTGATAAATTACATACGTTTAGCAGAAGACCTCTGATGGAGTCAATGGGAACCACGCTGGATAAAACGTGTGGCTTCAGAGGGTGACTACTTTGAAGAAAATTCGATTGATCGGTGTTGTAGTTTTATTTTATATCTCTAGCATTGATAAATTTTTGAGCGGACCTCGGACACACACAGACACACGCACACACAAACAAGCACACAAACACGTGGGTGTGGGGTCTGGAGAACGTAGTAGGCACTGAATCAGAGCTCGGCGTCCGACTGATTTTCAAAAAAAAAATATCTAGCCTCTGACGAAACAAAAATAGAAAAAAATAATTAAAAAACATAATAAACTATAAAATATGATTCCCCCTTATATATATATATATATATATATATATATATATATATAGTTGAATTGCATATATGACATTCAACGTCATGACTTGATAAAACCCTAGTAATGTTGAAGCAAAATTACTATTTTTTTTAGTGATTTTATAATATATTTAGGTATAATTTTCAAATAAATTATATTAGCTCTACTCTGAATAGTATTTTTGGGAATTTAAAAAAATTCCGTATACACCAATACTTATACTTATATATATATATATATATATATATATATATATATATATATATATATATATATGCAAAAAATTAGGTAATCCGTATGTGTAGACCTGAGGAGGATGATATCTAGAGAGCTCAGTGTAAAATTCAGAGCAGATATGTTTGAATAAAATAGACCACGTTAAGATTCCATGTATTGTTATTTTCACCATAACCCTTTTTCAAAGGGGTTATGGTGAAATAATGGAATCTTAACTTGGTCTGTTTTTTATTCATATATATATATATATATATATATATATTTAAAGATATGTTTGGTGGTACAAAATTTTATCACTGCCACGAATAGACAAAAATTAGTTTTATTATTACCACTCATGATAATAAAAAGTAAAACTGAAAAAACGGGCTAGCTAATTGGTTTCATACCTCGCTTAACAGAGCTAAATCGAGGTAAATAGAGTAAATTATATAATAAAAAATAACAATGGACAAAGTTTATTGGTGGGAATATATATATATATATATATATATATATATATATATATATATATATATATATATATATAGGATATTATATCAAGACATGTCAAAATCGCTACACACCTGCAGTCGTGTTTCGATGTGTATCAATGCACCTCATCAGCCGGTTGTAAATTACAGGAGAGTGAACGATTTATTTAGATTAAAAAGAAAAATACAAACCTTTTTTTTTTTTTTACGAAAAACAAATTGTTTAGTATTTTGATAAATTACCACTCCACCTTCTTTTCTTAGGACATCGTCTAGTGTGTAAAATGTTTAACGTCTGTGATGCCATTGACTGCCAATCTACGGGTCAGGACCCAGTTATGGAAAATAATTTTTTAATTTTTGCTTCTTGGCTTAATTTAAATTCAAAGTAGGTCACATTTAAATGGTTGATTTGAGTAAAGTCCACAAACCTTATAACCACTTTTTTTTCAGTTGTATTTTGCTTTTAAATCTAAATAAATCACTCACTCGCCAGTAATTTACAATTGCCTGATGAGATGCATTGATACGCATCGAAACACGACTGCAATTGTGTAGCGATTTTGACACGCTTTCGATGTATTAGTCTAAAATAAATAATATTGCTCCTTTGTTTCGAGTCCTCTTTTAAATTAAATGCTACGAAAGTTGGAATTATACTAAATCTGTATATATATATATATATATATATATATATATATATATATATATATATATATATATATATATATATATATATATATATATATATATATATATATATATATATATATATATTAAGAAATGGACAAGGTCAGAGCAGTTATGAATGTACGAGATTCATGGAAGATTGAGTTTATAAGCAGTAAATTCGACCTTGTCTACCGAACGCTTCTTTTGTAGCCTAGAGAAGGCACGTCAGCGTATATGACGCTTCCGTATAGGATGCAGGTTCGAATCCCGTCAAAGAACGAATATATTCTATGAAAATTTCTCGGACATTCAGGCCGGTAAATGTTATTTAATACTGTTTATCATAAACAGAGCATTTGCTTAAATACTTGTATCTATAAAATAACAACGTTAAACATAAAATGTCTTTAATATATATATATATATATATATATATATATATATATATATATATATATATATATATATATATATATATATACCAAGTGTAGGATTGACGTATACGGAATAAATTCCAATAACCAACAAATACTATTCTTAAGAGTTTTCAATACAGAGTAGAGCGAATATAATTATTTATTCGAAAATTATAACATAAAAATGTTATAAAATCACTACAAAAATAGCCATTTTGTTTCAACACCTCTGGTGTCCTATCAAGTGATGCTGTTGTTATATTTTTGTACTCGTGTATGTGTACTATTGCTTATATAGGTGTATATGAAATATTTATATATATTTGTGTGTTTTTTTTTTTTTTATATATTAGATGGTGTTATATTTATGCGTATATATCTATTTTTCAAACTTGAATATTTCTTGGTGGGGGTTTCTTTAACGTGCTTATATATCTAAATACATGTGCGTGTTTATGTATTATAATCTGATTGTGCATGTCTTGTCTTTTGCAAGATTTCATCCTCCCCTCCCCATGTTCTTGCTTCAAATGGATCTACGTTTTCATGAAGTTCAGAGCAGCTTTGGATCTTAACGTTTATTCCAACTTAATTTCAATAAAAAGAAAATAAATAAAAAAAAAACATATATATTTTTTTCCTCTGTTTCTTTTTTAAATAAATTTAGAATTTTAAACTTAATATAGATTAAATTTAAAATTTAAAATTGGTAATTTTAAATTTTATAGTATAATTTAATATTTATTAGTTAGAATGAATTCTACTTTAGTCTAACCCCAACATTAAAGCATTAAATAATTATTATAACCTTAAAGTCCGTTGTCAAGTTATTTGAATTCTCATATACTTGTTTTTTGACTGGTCATTCCAGCTATGTAACAGCGTTTCTAGCGATGGATGTTTGATTGAGTTGAACCTTTTAAAACGCTTTATTCTACATTCAACAAACATCACTTGATAAGACACCAATTATATATATATATATATATATATATATATATATATATATATATATATATATATATATATATATATTTTTTTTTAAAAAGAAAGAACAGATTTCGAAAAATTTAATAAAAACAAATGCTAAAAGACAGAAACACATTCAACAACTTAATGTCCTTAGCAGTTCTTATTTATTTGATATTACAATCGTTTTTCTTTTCTATCATCCATTGCCACAAGCTTGGTACGTCGGTGACTCACTGTTTCTCCTCAAACCTTCTGTGTCTTTTGACCATCCCATTCTCCAAAACATCTTCTTTCATAATGTGTCCCAGGAATTTCAAACTTTGTCTTTCTGATTCAAAGTTTAAGTGACCCTTTCGTTTCAACGTTCCTTTAACCTTCTTCGTAACTCACATGCTCTGTCAATGGTATTCCCAGCTTTATTCTGTAGATCGACAGAGAACCATATTTGGTGCGATTATATTTTCTTTACTAAGTAAAATAACGTGATTGGATGATGAAAAACACGTCACAAAATATTATGACCATATAATCACATGTCTTTGTATGCTGCTGTGATGTGGCTATGACCAAACGTATATTAATGTCGCCAGGACTAAGCACTGGTTTAGTTTCTCGCGTTTTGAGGAGTCAGCAGATATTTTTGGAAATAAGGAAAACTGCTCATGGTCCATCCGGACGACTGGAAATGTATTTTCCTAGTATGATTTACGTTACACTTTCCAATCTATACCCTTGTGCTAATTAATTGGTACAAAACGAATAATTCCGTTATTATTTACTTTTTTCGTATTTTTCCAATGAAACATGACCCAGTTCCCACGTTAGTACTCCGTATGTCTATTCCACGAAATCGTTTCTTGCACATTGACCACAGATTCTCGATTGGATTTAAATCGAGAGAGTTCCCGAGCCAGTACTATAGTACTTTGATTTGCTCACTGGTAAGGCTACAATTTTCGTACGCTTTCTTCTAGTAACGGCCATCGGAGATAATGGCCGTAGGGCAACTAATCGACAGTCGAGACAGTAGTGTCTGGGCGTGATAAAACTCTGATGCAATCACGGATGATGCAATATCAAACAAATTTCATCATAGATCCTGAAAATAGATTCATATTACTGCACACTATTGCAAATGATCAAATCCGAGGAAAAAACAGAAATCGATTACAACCTGTCACCCCAGTGAGTCTAAAACTGACCATATGGTGAAAGAAAGGTACGTCGAAATAAAGCGAGGGCTATCAACCCTAGAATGGTGAGTTGCGATGCCTTTTGTCACGACTACCGCCGCGAAAGACGATCAATGCCCGTTGCACAACAGTTGGTGCATGGCTCATCAAACAGATCATGACAATCGACTAAATTTCTAAGCTATTGTGACTGCTGAAGTATCGACAAAGTTCCGTGGTCTTTACTTATTTAATATATCAAACAATGTTTAATGCAGTTCTGTCTGGAATTATATACAACAGGTCAAATTAGTGTCTGGAAGCAAAGCACTTTCGTTGCAATGGAGAGTTGGCACATAAGCAATATGCTGTGTACATAAAAATACATTGTAAATTGTCTAGCATTATTTTGTGATAAAAGCAATTCGGGATTTAAAAATATACGTGCGCACGGAGACACATATATGTCCGAGGTATTCGTCAAGAATATCGTACCTTCTCAAAAAACAAGTACGGACATTTGGAATATACTTTGTGAGCAGTATCTATTGTAATGTGTGAAACGAATCAGGTGAATATCCAATTCTTTGAAGCAGATGATGGAAAATATATCCTAGGCAAAGTGATTTTTTATATCATAATTTCCAAACATTTTGGGTGGTAATTAATATATATATAAGAAGCGAGAGCAAGATCTAAAAGGTCAACCAATCTAACAGTTATCTCATCTCACAATCCTCACACTTGCTCCATATGTGGCCTACTTTGTAAATCACTAGCGGGTCTTAAATGCCACTTAAGATTAGCGCATAAACTTTCATAACTGATTCAATAAGCTGGCAGATACTCATACGTCGAAACCGACGGGAGAGTCCATATTATATATATATATATATATATATATATATATATATATATATGATTAAATGAAAGCTAGTTCGCATGTGCTCCTTATAATATGCAGATTATATAGGCCGGTTAATGAAATTTGAAAAAAAGTGGACATTGATGTCACGAATCAGCATCGGCCAGCATTGGCCAGCATGCAATGAGTGTTCAGTAAAATAAAAAAGTTTCTCAACTTCTATGGAAATGCATGCGTCTCCCGAGGCCTGCAGCTATTTTGACAAGTGGAATATGTGGTGGATCCATTTCGCTGCATCAGAACGTTACAAGAGGAAGAGGGATTATCACTGAATTCAGAGATAAAGAGATGAATTGTAAAAGATCCAATTCAATTCATAAGACGTTCGTCACGCGAGAGAGAAGTTTCAGCTATGACAGTCTAAAGAGAAATGAAAAAAGACTTGAAAAGTGTGCTGTACTTTGTTACTCCAGGACAGAAGGTTAGAAGGTGTGAGAGGATGGAGAATATCATATTGAATAACTTGGAAAATCAACCTGAATAATATATATATATATATATATATATATATATATATATATATATATATGAATTTATTTCAATTCTTCATGAGGTTCCCATTATTAGCTATGATTAATTAATAATGAACATGTCATTTTCGTAACGATTCATCTGTTAAACTTGGAGAGTAATTATACATTCTTATTGCTCAAAGTCGAGACCAATAATGTTATAAGAACATCGGAGAATTCCAGTAAGATATCTTTGATCATTTCGAAGATACAATGGTTCAAAGCTTAATCTAACAATTGGACAATTTTACTGTTACACGTTTTGGACAGTTTTATTGTTAGACCCGGTATCTATCTATCTATCTATCTATCTATCTATCTATCTATCTATCTATCTCAGTCTGTTCGTATCTATCTATCTATCTATCTATCTATCTATCTATCTATCTATCTATCTATCTCTTAATATCTGTATTCAGACATATTTGTGTACATCTACCAGGTATATCTCACTCCGTTCATAGCTGTGTGCGTATCTATCTATCTATCTATCTATCTATCTATCTATCTATCTATCCAAATTTTAACATCAATCTGTCTATACTAGCCTAATTGTATCTCCCTCCATATAAATAATATTATATATATATATATATAAAAGGTAACAAATCGGTTGTTATATAATACAAGATGATCCTAGTAATATAAAATATTAAAACTGATTCACAAAAAGAGCTCAATGTATTTATTATTACAGAGCAAATAAATAGTAGTGAACCATAAATTACCTCATATGCGGAATAGACCTATTTTAACCGACAAATCTTCGTCAGTCTTCTTCAACCCCGGTATATAGACTGGGTTTGTGTCGGAATTAGAAATTTAACTGTGACAGCTGTCGAAACTCTCATATAGAATTTATCCATTTCAATGTTTCAGTCAGACGAAAGGCACGAGGAAGCAGTCAGGGGAATGTGGAAGGTAGTTGTCGTAAAGGGAAGAGGTTTTATAAAATTAAACCCGGATATTAACCTTACGGCATTAAATTGGGGATATATGAAGAATGAAGTGTTAATTTGAAACTAAGAGAGGAATGAAACTCCCTTGAAAAGTGCGCCCGGAAAGATCTTGATAGCAGGAAAAAACAAATAAGGTAACATAAACCTCAAGGCAAAATACTACTCAACAATACCGTACCCTCAAAGTCCACCATCTCAGAACATATCATGTAAATAATTTACAAAGTAAAAAAAACACCTAAGAATTATGCTACAGACGCACCCCATTGTAAAAGAACTAAATGGCACATTTACTGGTAAAGCCTTAAAATAATTTTCTGTATAAATTTGCGATGAAGAATAACCGGCCACAACTAAAAGTTTCATGCATCACACAGTCATCACGTACTCGGCAGCAGTATTTTGTGAAATTTTCTAGTTCTTATATATATATATATATATATATATATATATATATATAATTATTTATTAAAAAATATGATTCCAAATCGCGACAAAAAAGTCCCATGTTTCAAAACAAAAAAAACTTCAATATAATTATTTAAATTAAATTGAGTTAAAATGGAATAGAGCTTATTTTAACTCAATTTTTAACTCAATTTAATTTAAATAATTATATTGAAGTTTTGGCTGTTTTTTGAAACATGGGGACTTATGTCGATTTTTGAATCATATTTTTAAATAAATAATTATATTTATGCTCTACTTTTGTATCGAGCACTATTTTTAAAAAATAATAACTAAAATACTAAGAGACTTTGGATTATTTACCGAACCAGTTCCTTCCTATTTTCTATATATTTTCACACACACACAACATATATATATATTAAGAAATGGACAAGGTCCGACAATTTATTTATTAAAGACATTTTTTTACGTTTAACGTTGTTATTTTATAGATACAAGTATTTAAGCAAATGCTCTGTTTATGATAAACAGTATTAAATAACATTTACCGGCCTGAATGTCCGAGAAATTTTCATAGAATATATTCGTTCTTTGACAGGATTCGAACCTGCATCCTATACGGAACCGTCATATACGCTGACGTGCCTTACCTCCGGGCTACAAAGAACCGTTCGGTAGACAAGGTCGAATTTACTGCTTATAAACTCCAATCTTCCATGAATCTCGTACATTCATAACTGCTCTGGCGTATCGAATGTAAACAAATGACGTCATATATTAAGAAATAGACAAGGTCCGACAATTTATTTATTAAAGACATTTTTTTATGTTTAACGTTTTCTATGAAAATTTCTCGGACATTCAGTCCGGTAAATGTTATTTAATACTGTTTATCATAAACAGAGCATTTGCTTAAATACTTGTATCTATAAAATAACAACGTTAAACATAAAAAAATGTCTTTAATAAATATATATATATGTATATATATATATCCAAACAACTTATGTGAAATTCAACTGACAAGTGTTGCCTATTTAATTTTTTTTTTATTTTCCAATTTCTGAATACATTATTCTATCTATCTATCTATCTATCTATCTATCTATCTATATATATATATATATATATATATATATATATATATATAATGATAAAATATGCTTTTAAGTTATGCTTAATATCAGGGATATAACGTACGTAATTATAAAAGTGGACATTGAAGTCAACACCCAGAGACGATAGTCTGTATCATGCTAAAAGATGTCACTGACAAGTGGGTATTTGATACCAAGCACTGAAGGTTGGTCTTTGACCCTGACACTGAAGCCGGAGATTTGAAGACGACACGGAAGGTGAGTCCTTTAAGCTGGAAATAAAAATAAGTATTTGATGCCGCCACTGAAGTTGGGTCCATTAAGTTCGGACTGGAGGTGGGTATTTGAGGCCGGAATTGAAGGTGGGTCCTTTAAGCCGGAATAGCAAGTGGATATTTGAAACAACTACTGAAGGTAGGTATTTGATGCCAGCTGCGGATTGTTTACTAACCTCCAGATTTTTTACGCTGTGTTCGGCTAATCGAGACAACTTTCTTTAAATAATACATATATATATATATATATATATATATATATATATATATATATATATATATATATATCTGTGTGTGTGTGTGAAAATATATAAAAAATACGAAAGAACTCGTTAGGTAAATAATCCGAAGTTCTTTAGTATTTTTGTTTTTATTAAAAAAAACAGGCCTCGATACAAAAGTAGAGGCTAAATAAAATTATTTATTTAAAATATGATTCCTTCGCTACATAAGAGTTCTCATGTTTCAAAATCAAGAGCTGAAAACTTCAATATAATTATTAGAAGTAAATTGAATTAGTACTAAGTTTATTTCATCTTTCAAGCGAAATTTTTGGATTCCCAAAATTCGCTTGAAGATGAAACAGAGCTTGGTACTTTAAATAAAATAAAATAATTATATATATATATATATATATATATATATATTTAGTTAATTAAGTTATTTGGTAAGCTGTATGGATAATTTCAAGGAGGGTGCAAAGCAGAGAGTTCAATGTAAAAACAGCAAATATTAATTATATTATGAAACAGAAACTTTAAGAGTTCATAAGATTATAATTTATTTCCTTAGGACCGGTATTATATATATATATATATATATATATATATATATATAAACCATGTCTGAAGCTAGGGTCATCATCTGATGGTGGGAGATGTTGCGGGTACCTTTTCCTGCTGCAGTCTTTGTATGAACTTGTATCTGTCTGGTTGTATATTATTGAACTGGATGCGAATGTAAACATCCGATAAATCTATAAATACTTGGCAATATATCGTTCTGGCAATATAGATGCTATCAATGAAACGCCAAATTAGATTATTTTGATTTGTCAGTCGATCTTTTTATTCAGCGGAATGCTGGAAGTGTAGATTTTAAACAAGGACGCGACGGAATTATTGGAATGGCAGAACAACCTTTACAAAACAAACACGTCTCTTGTCGTCGCATCTCCACACCCCACTCTTTACTAGTCGCATTTGGACTCCTTTCTCAGTATTCTTCCTATCTTTCTGTTTTTCTCTCTCAAATCTAATATCAATGCTATTGTCCACCGCCATCTTGTTTCATTTCTCAAAATTAGATAAAAAAATATCACGTTAGAACGATAAAAAATCGATTTTCGTTCGTCGATGATCCTGTGCAATGATTATTGATTCTTGTTTTTGTTCTGTTTAGTGTTCTTATTCAATGATAAGTTGCGAAAATGTGATACCGAACGCCGAAATGTGTGACAGAAATTTCGAGGTTCATAAGATGCCTTTCAGAAACTAAGCAAATTATTTAAGCCATCCGAATATGTCCCTATAAAAACCGAGTGTTAAACGACTATGTAAGATCTAATCTCCTCTATGGCAAAGAAAGTTACACATTCTCCTCCAGATGAAGGCAAAAATGAGAAGCAATCCATATATGGTGTAATGGATAGCGGCTCGGATTGAGGAATCGGAGAGCAGTGTTCGAATTCCAGTCGAATTACATTCAGTTACGTGCTAATCACCTTGGGAAAGGTATGAATCCTATTCTCTCTCCAGCTATGGGTAAATAGTAGGACAGACTGGGTTCTATAGCCTTGGATGGCAACTGGTCTAGGACATAGACAACTCTGAATTCAAATCCTAATCCTCCATTTTGGGGGTTGTGCAGTAGGCTAACGCTAACAATCTACTCATTTAAAAACTTGCAGCCCTATGTTCCTCAAGGAATTTAAAGATATATATATATATAGATATATATATATATTGTGTATATTAAGGCTGCAGCTTTTCATTGATGCATGTTTCATTAAGTAGTATAGACAAGTTTTGTCTATTTATTTTCAGTAAGTTCCTTTCATATTCTCTGATAAGCTTAATAACATTATCATTGAAAGACGAAAGGAAATAACCATATTGATACATGTTTAAATCCAATCTAAGGTTTCGGCTTACATAAGCCATTATCAAAGATGACAATTACTTTTCAATATATCAACCAATACACGGAACAATAATGGTAGTCTGTTTTTGTTGCATGAAAAATTTCAAAGTAAAGACTAACTCGTGTATACGAGACGCGGAAGCGAAAATCGCGTCGCAGCTTGTGACACATGATCACGTGAGAGTGAAAACGAGAAGTATTAAGTATGGGAAGCCGAAAAATTGGTATAAATCAATGGCTTCTGTTATCAATTATAGCCATTTAAGAATATTTGTGGAGATTTCGTAGTTTATTTTGTTCATGTTTGGTTTCAACTGTTTTATGTATGTAGCTTCAAGATTTTTTATTTTTTATTTATTGTTTTCATGTTTAAGTATAGTGTTCTCAACGAGGATTTTCAGGAATTGTAAACGCGTCCAGGCATGTTGCTTTAAATGATAATGTTATTAAGCTTATCAGACAATATGAAAGGAACTTACTTAAAATAAATAGACAAAACTTGTCTATATTATTTAATGAAACATGCATCAATATATATATATATTTGTGTGTGTGTGTGTGTTCCATATATGCTTATACCATCTCATGGGGAGACGATGCGAAAATAATATCTTTAAGCAAATTGACGATGTGGTTTATTAAAAGATATTATTTTAAAATGCAACGCTCCTTCTTCAGGCAATTGGAATCTAACCATGTGGACGAAATAAAGGGTTCGTTTCGAAATTTCAATCACCTGAAGACGGCCGGAGCGTACAGCAGCCGAAACGTTGTGAATATTCCAATGAAGATGAGGATAACAGTCCGAATAATTTAAATAATGTAAGTAAACGATAGATATGAGTTGTCAGTTTGTTAGGGGAATTCAAAGGCACATAGGAGTAGAGAAAGGTGCATTCTAGAAACTAAGCAAAGTATTAAGAGATAGGAAAATTTTATTAGAAACAACGACAACAGTGTTGAAATTCTATGTTTGGCTAACCTTATATAATGACATTGAATGCTCGTCAATCTTATGCCTTTCAGAAAAAAAAAAAAGCAAAGTATTAACAATAGAAACAAAGAAAAGCGTTCTAAACTGATATATATATATATATATATATATATATATATATATATATATATATATATATATATATATAAAACAGACGATATCTGTGTGTTTGTCTGGCTGACTGTGTGATACCTTTCCACTCGAGATCCATCCAACCGATTTTGACCAAACTTGGCACATAGATTGTAGAATGCAAGAGATAGGATCTTAGCGTAAAAATCGATAATTTAAAAAAATCAATAATCGATAAAGCCGATCAAAATTAGTAAATTCAACTTTTTTCCTCCGATTTCTTTCAAACTCGGTATGTTGGTTATTTATATAATGACGCGCTCAACAATATCTCATTATTATTTATACGCCACAGCGTTTAGCGAAAAACGAATATCGATTTCAACACATATCGATTTCTACACAAATCTTTAACTAAAACTCCCTCAATTTTCTATCCATCTAATACAAGCTACACTCCATTGTAGCCACCAATAAGTTTTTTGTTTAACAAACCTTTAAATTGATAAATGAGTCAACCGACATAGTGAAAACCTGCGTAAATGGCGAAAAATGGCGATTTTTACTGGTTTCTTTCTTATTTTTCGTTGATCGTTCAACCAATTTTCATCAAACTTAACATTTGCTTTAAAAATGTATCTTATTTTACATCCCTGGTTGCACACTGACAAAATGAATTTCAAAAACTCCAAAATAATTGTAGTCTGAAGTGGGTCTTCATGTTGCCTGTTTTACCCCTTCATGTCCTCGGCTAACTTCGATTGAATAAATACAGACTACTTCTGTTATATCAGTAACTGTATCAATTCAAAATGTTTTTTAATGAAAGTACTTTAAAGTAATTGAAGTAGATAGATTCTGTTACATGTAAACATGATGCTGTTTTTGCTCCATTCTAATTGAACACTTTTTCTGATCGACGAGCTGGGTATGGCTGCTAGTATAATATATTACCTTCTATATGACAGTAAATGTTTTGTTTTTTTAGTTTTATTGTGACCAGCCAACTTGAACGAAATCAGACATAACAGATTCGTAATCAGATTTCGATCAATTAAAAGAATAAATCAAATAAAAACTAATTAATATGCACTGAAATGTAAACAGTAAAATAAATTTTCCTTCATATATATATATATATATATATATATATATATATATATACATACATGGTGTCTATAGAGTTTGTGTGCACTTTAAAAAAATTATAAATTTATTTGTATTTGCGATAGAAATAATCTGTATAAAATGTTATAAAGTTTAATGTACCTAGCTTTAAGTATAGCTAAAATAACTAATGTGATTTCAGGCATTACTGTAAATCAGTTGGCAAATGTTTTCCGTCAACTGCAAAATCGTATTACCCTTTGTAGTGCTAATGATGGAGGACATGTGGAAACTTAAATAAAATTTCAATAAAACCTTAAAAAATATAGATTGACTTATTTCTAATTCTTTTTTACAAATTATTTCTATCGCAAATATAAATAAAGTTATAAATTTTTTAAAGTGCACACGAACTTAATGGACTCTCTGTATATATATATATATATATATATATATATATATATATATATATATATATATATATATATATATATATGTGTGTGTGTGTGTGTATGTGTGTGAGCTATTCATTTATCTATCTATCCGAGTCAGTTCATCTCTATATATTTTATCATTCCGATCTAACTACCCTATCTATCTATCTATCTATCTATCTATCTATCTATCTATCTATCTATCTATCTACAGTGGGGGGAAATAAATATTTGTACACTTGAAAAATTGTATTTTTATAAATGTAAAAGCGTTAAATAAAACAAATTTTGATACATGTTATACATTTTATTAAAAAATAATAATAAACTTAATTAATTCTTATTCTAACAGAAATTAATGCATTTTATTTAAGGCTTTTACATTTATAAAAAATACAATTTTTCAAGTGTACAAATATTTATTTTCCCCCATATATATATATATATATATATATATATATATATATATATATATATATATATATATATATATATATATATGTATATCTGTGTGTGTGTAAGTGAACAGTGTCGTCAACACTAGACGGTAACAGTCTGTTTCCTGTTTGAATAAAATCTATTTATCTATATATATGTGTGCGCGTGTTTATGTGTGTTTATCTCTCACTGAGTCGATGTCATTGAATCGCATATCCCCAATCCGCACAACGTTACAAACAAAAAAAATGAAATCCAATTCTTAGGAATAATACAATTTTTTTTTAATACAAAATCATGGTAAAAATTTGTATGAACAATTCCAAGCTATTCATTTCTTACACCACCAGCTCATCGAAGTTTACAGCACTTGATATTCCCAAGCGGATACCCATCCAGTTATTGACCAGCCTCTACGTTGCTTGAGCTTCGGTGGTCGTACGGCACCTTTATCGGTATGTATGTAGTCAAATTGTGTACGTGCTAAATCTCCAGCCATCGAAATAATCAAGTTTGAGATAATCGATAACGCAGACAAAATGACTTTATCTTCCCCTTCACTTCTTTTCAGGTGTGAATTTGTCTTTGGGATTTTTTTTTTATTTTATGTTGTTTTTATTTCGTTTAATTTTTTTTGCGGGGGGGGATGCTTTTGTTTTTGGAGTTTTATTGTGACCAGTCAATTTGAACGAAATCAGGCATGACAGATTCGTAGTCAGTTTTCGGTCAACAAGAAAATAAAAATAATAGAAAAAACCTATAAAGAATTAATATACACTGAAATTTAAACAGTAAAATAGTTTTTCTTTAACCTTGGCATTTTTGCATATATAATTTTTTAATAAATTTTGGTATTTATTTTTTAGTCTCCAGCAACGCCATATTGGGAAAATTAATAAAAGATTTAATTATGTTAAACACACACAACACATTTTACGTTATCATCTAAGAATCCATAGATGCAAAATGCATTGTCGGATATTATTTTCGTAACATACACCCTTGTGCAAATTAATTGAAGCAAAACGAATAATTCCGTTATTATTTACTGTTTTTCGTATTTTTCCAATAAAACATGACCCACTGTACATGTCAGTACTTCGTATGTCCATCCCACGAAGTAATTCCTTGCAGATTGACCACAGATTCTAGATTGGATTTAAATCAGGAGAGTTTCCGAGCCAATCTATAGTACTTTTATTTGCTCTTTGGTAAGGCTTGTCAGTATGTTCGTGCAGCGTTACAATTTTCGTATGCTTCCTTGGAGTAAAATCCATCGCAGACAATGGCTATTTGACAACTAATCGACGATCGAGACAAGAGTGTCTGGGCGTGATAAAAATCTGATGCAATCACGGATGACGCAATATTTTTCAAGGACAAACAAATATCATCACAAAACCTGAATATAGATTCATATTACTGCACACCAATGCAAATGACCTAATCTACGGCAAAAAAAATATAGAAATCGATTACACCCTGTCATTCCAGTGGGTCAGAGTCGTTCCTTGCAGATTAACCACAGATTCTCGGTTGGATCTGAATCAGATTTTCCGGGCCAGTCTATAGTACTTTGATTTGCCCACTGGTAAAGCATGCCAGTATGTTCGTGCAGCGTTACAATTTTCGTATGCTTCCTTGGAGTAACATCCATCGCAGACAATGGCCGTTTGACAACTAATCGACGATCGAGACAAGAGTGTCTGGGCGTGATGAAAATCTGATGTAATCACGAATAACGCAATATTTTTCAATGCCAAACAAATTTCATCACACAACCCGAAATGACATTCATATTATTGCACACGACTAAAAATGAGCTAATCTTTGAAAAAATAGAAATCGATTACATCCTGTCATTCCAGTCGGTCTAAAACTGACGGTATGGTGAAAGAAAGGAAACTAAAGCGGTTGTTTCAATTAATTTACACAAGATGAGGTACAAGAAAGCAGATGCTCTATTCGCAAATAATTTCCCTCTAGATCATGCGTTTTCAAGTTCATTATCTGCTATTTTGTTGTTAGAACTTTCTTATATATCATATATCAAGTAGAATGTTTATTCTTGATGATGATTTAAAATCACATTTAAGGTCATTTCCAGCCTTGGTCTTGGAAAGGAAAGTGATAGAGAGATAATTATTAGCGAATATAGTGACTGCTATTTTCTTGTTGTCAGAACTCTCTTATACCCCAAGTATCAATCAAAATAATATTTTGTCTTCCTCTGTCATTTTTATAAATACTTTCACGGTAACTGCTCCGATGGGCTGCTTTCGCCGGTTCCCAAACAACATGAATTTAAGCGTTCTACTAGGCTGGCATCTCGCTCTCACCCTTCCACTGTCGAAACTGTTAAAAGTAGCCGTCTCTTCTACTCTAATAGCTTCATGTCTCGCACTTCTCGCCTGTGGAACTCTCTCCCCATTTCTTGTTTCCCTGATAGCTATAATCTCCAAATATTCAAATGTAATGTCAATCGACATCTCCAGATGCCCTGGTCTATCCCCTAACCGTCTCTTCATTCATTCCTCTATCACTCCTCTTTGTTCTCGCTCCAACTCTCTGTAACCCCTTGCGTGCTAGTGGCTTCTCGCCTTGCTTGGGGTGAAACGCTTAAAAAAAAAAACTCTATGAGTGGAACTTCCTCATTACCAGTAGAATACAAAGGGAATGACGATAGAGTATCGAGGAGGCTAGCAACGTTTCGTCTGTAGGAAAGGGGTTGTAAGGCGGAAAATAATTCATCACCTACAAGGATGTGGAGACACTTCTGGAATGTCTCAAGAATGGAAAGTAACGACTTGGGAGCTCCTGCCTATATATAGCAGCCTTATTCTATTTTCACCTTTATCTGGCTCTTATCTGATAGATAAGGGCAGGAGGAGTCGGGTACTTGCTGGAATGGTACAGGGAACCGGCTATTTTTTACAGGATCTTTACCGGTGAATTGTATGTCCACTTGAGGTCTGTGCTGAGTTCAAGTCCCAGCAGTCACTCAATGCATGGGCAAAAGTGATCAGAACTGTCAAGCTGGTATAGCCGGAAAAAGTGACTCCTGTGGGCGTAAATGATTTTTTCACAGTTGGGAAAATGAGGATCAGTTGAAAGACACCAACTTTCTGGAAGGCTTACGGTAAGGAGAACACTTGAAGCTTTTGAATGTGTTTGTATGGCTAACAATAGACGCTGACGATTGAAAACGCGAGGGAAAAAAGACCGTTTGTAAAATAATGCGCAGTGAAAACGGTATATAGGTAATCGATTTACTGTCTAGAAAATAGGTTTCTTAAAAGTTTTTGGCAAAATCTCATTCATCCAATTCTGACAGCTACATCCATAATCCATATCTACCGGTGAGTGGTGAATGTTTTCTTATAAGGAAACGACTAATATTGCCATTAAAATTACTATTACACTTGTCAGTAGCACAGTGGATTAATTTTGCTATGTATCCCTCTACGGTAAGCGCACAGAGACAATAAGCTCATGAAGATTCAGTGTCATTTAGATATGTTTCTAATAAGCTTAATCTTTAGACGAATAAATGTAAATTGAAAGAACAGACAAAAACCAGTGAAAGTGAAAGTGAAAGTGAAAGTACAAACTTTATAATTGCAAGAAAAAAGATTAATTATATATCGTGATTAATTTGTCAGAAAGCCAAAAATGTTGGCACCCACAGACAAATATAAATTTAGTTATCTGAAATCCTTGATGATGAGATACGACTCAATATATATCATTCGTTATTGAAGATGTGATTTAAATACGCTGGATGCTTCGAAAATAAAGCCTCCTGCTTATTTCTGCGGAAACGATAACAGATACATAGAGCGCAGTAACACAGGGCAGCGTCTCGTCTCGGGATGTAGACAAACCCGATCCCGTTATTACGGGGTTTACGGGGGAAAAGTGAAATATAATGGGAAAAGAAGGCTTGGGGAATTTGACACTCACGTGTCAGAAAAGTTGTTCTACAGATGGATGATGGGAATACTATGGACTGAATATGTGAGTAACGACGGAATTTTAAGGAAAATGCCAACAAAAATGACTCATAGACTTATAATCAAAATGTCACAGGATACATAATGAGGAAAGAATGCTTGGAGTATATGATACTCACAAGATAGAAAATTTGTTCTACAGAAGGATGGTGAGATTACCATGGACTTAATATGTGAGAAACGACGAATTTTTAAGGAAAATGCAAACGAAAACAATATTTATACATAGAACCAGAAAGAGAAAGTGACATATAATAAGAAAAGATGTGGTTCTACAGGAGAATGATGAGAACACTATGGATTGAATATGTGAGTAACGATGAAGTTTTAAGGGAAATACAAACAAAAAGGACACTTAGAATCAGAAAGAGTATGAAACATAATGAGGAAAGAGGGCTTGGATAATTTGACACTCAAAGGACCTAATGAAAACCAAAAAGAGAGAGAGAAAAGATTTGAATAACAAGACGGTTCTGCAAATGCTTGGTATAATGCGGTTTAGGAGAGATAGCAAAAAAATAAAAACCTTAATCAGAGCCACAAAGGTCAGGAAATTTTTGCGAGCCATTATTGCTGATGTCCTGAAACTGCACATCTCATAGATGAGATGATGAAGAAGACTTTTCTATCTCATCAATTGTTAGGCGACAGGAAGTATAGATGCCTGGAGTTGTGGGAACAGTTTGTTTGTTTTATTTTTTTTTTGACTTTTCTTAAGCATTTCAACCATCCTCCTCAACCATTAATTTATCTGCTAAAATTTATAATCTTGAGAAGTGTACCATAGTAACGTCTTCATATATTCCCTTCTTATCATTTTCATTCGACTTCTAATCAGGGGGATCTTTAAATATAAACCAATGTTTCTTTTATTCCGTACATACTTAAACTGTAAATATAATTTGTAGATATGGAATAATATAATTTTATTGGATGTTATATGAAAGTATTCGTATAAAGAGGGTTGTTACGGCGAAAGAATCTATGGAGATTGTTTCTTGTTTCTTGTTTGTTGTTTCTTCTTCTTCTTCTTCTTTTTCTTCTTCTTCTTCTTCTTCTTCTTCTTCTGACTCTGACTCTTCTTCTGACTCTTCTACTTCTGACTCTTCTTCTTCTTCTTCTTATGACTCTTCTTCTTCTTCTGACTCTTCTTCTTCTTCTTCTTCTTATGACTCTTCTTCTTCTTATGACTCTTCTTCTTCTTATGACTCTTCTTCTTATGACTCGTAATTACTTGGGGAACATAGGGCCGCAACAGCACCTCTCCAACGGGCAAGGTTCCGGGAGATCCTCTTCAGCTCGACCGATGTCGTGCCGGGGCTGCCTTCACCTCAGCGTCAACACTTCTGCGCCAAGTCTGTTTTGGTCGACCCACTTTTCGTTTTCCCATGTGGATTCCAGTCCAGGGCCTGTCTGGTGACACTAGAAGCAGGCTTGCGGAGTGTGTGGTCGATCTATCCCCATTTCCTTTTCTCTCTTACCTCTTGATTATTTGGGGAACATAGGGCCGCAACAACACCTCTCCATTGGACGCGGTTTCGGGAGATCCTCTTCAGCTCGACCGATGTTGTGCCAGCTGCTTTCCCGGTGGATTTTCACCAGCATGCGTCATACGCTCCACTCAAGAGGACTTTTCTTCGTCCATGTCATTGTTTGAAGATATTGTTGAGGTTTCTGTAACAGACTAGTTTTTAAGTGATTAAGTTGTTAGCCTACCGCACAACCCCCAACCTAGATAACCTGGATTGGGTCTTGTGGTTAGGGTCTTGTCCCACAGTTGGTCGTTGAAGACGACTTCTGCTCGCTTTGTATTGAGGATGTTCCTGAGACAATATTATAGTCAACAAGGGACAATTTTTAAGATAATTTTAAATTAGCTAGACAAGAACGTGAATTTAAGTCTGGTTTGGTCGTATAGGGTTCTGACGTTCCAGTTCCCTATCCTAGTTGTTGACTATCATCGTCATCAGAAGCGTTGCTTTCGCGACGGATTTTCACGAGTACGCGTCATACGCTCCACCCTGAAGGACTCTTCCTCGTCCATCTCGTTGTTTGAAGATATTGTTGAGGTTTCTGTAACAATTTAGTTTTTAAGTGATTAGGTTGTTAGCCTACTGCCCACTCCTCAAGGAGGCCAGGGTGTGTATTTCGTCTGACTCCTACTCCACAGAAATGTTGAGCTTGGTTAGACCTTCTAAGGGCCGAAGCCCCCGCCCTCATAGCTCTAGGAGTCGTTGATGCACGGAAGCCGTCCTACCACGTCAAGGCGACACACCATCAGCACGGAGAATATAGACATACTATCGACATATTATTGAGCATTGTTAAACACTGTATATTTTCTTTATTTTTTTTATTAGTATGTTCCTTGATTCATCGGGGAACATAGGACGCGCTTCCGGGCGATGCTCTTCAGGTTGGCCCATGTCGTGCCGGCTGCCTTCACTTCTGCGTAAACACTTCTGGACCAAGTCTGTTTTGGTCGTATAGGGTTTTGACGTTCCAGGTCCCTATCCTAGTTGTTGACTTAGTCGTCAGAAGAGTTGTTGGCGCACTGGCTTCCCGGGGGATTTTCATCAGCACGCGTCATAAATAGAAGGATTGTCTTGGCTGTATAGCCAGGGTTAGCAACCAGAATATAAGAAGGACGACTCTGAATTCAAACCCGGTGCAGATGTCCATTTAACAGTCCAATGTCATGTTTTATTTCTAATACGAATATAATTTTTTTTTTTATTACTATGCCTCTTGATTCCTTGGGGAACATATGGCTGCAAAAATACCTCTCTAACGGACGCAGTTCTGGATGATCCGCTTCAGCTTGGCCCATGTGCCGGCTGCCTTCACCTTTGCGTCAACATTTCTGCGCCAAGTCTGTTTTGGTCGACCCACGTTTCGCTTCCCTTGTAGATTCAAGTCTTGGGCTGCCTGGTGACACTAGATCAAGGCTTGCGGTGTGTGAGGCCGATCCATCCGCATTTCCGTTTCTTGATGTCAATCTTGATTGGAGCTTGTTTGGTCCTGTCCCACAGTTGGTCGTTGGAGACGATTTTCTTTGTGGATTCCAGTTAAAGGCCTGCCTGGTGACATTAGAGGCAGGCTTGCGGTGTGCGTGGCCGATCCATCCCCATTTCCATTTCTTCATACTAGTCTCTATTGGGGTTTGTCTGGTCCTGTCCTGCAATTGGTCGTTAGAGACGACTTCCGACCACCTGATATTAAGGATGTTCTTGAGACATCGGTTGGTAAATGTCTGAAGTTTGTGGATGTTAGTCTTGTTTACCCTCCAGGTTTCAGAGCCGTAAAGTAATACAGGCTTGACGTTGGTGTTGAAGATCCGGATCTTGTACAGTGAGAGGGTTGTTGATCTGAGTGGTCGCAGAGTGTTGAAAGCGTGTCGGGCTTTCCTGATTCGGCACTTGATATCTTCATCTGTCCACCTATCTTTACTGACGACGCTTACCAGGTAGATAAAGTTATTGACTTCCTTGTCTTCTTGGTGTAGTCGCACTGGGTCTTGTTTTCTGTTGTTTACCCTCACGACATCCGTCTTTCCGATTGAAGGTTGATTGAGTGGACAATTCGGCGTTGTATTGATTAAGAAGCTAGTCTTGCTAAATCAGTTACGACTAAGTAGTGAGTTCGATCCACACTAACTGCCCAGCAATTTCGGCCTAGAGTCACATCTAAGCTACACTTCGAAAATCATTTAGAATATGTTGCTTTGGTATAAGATTTTTCTAGTTTGTTGGGCCAGTGATTGTGGCGAGATAGGTTAAAGTTTAGAGAAATTGAAGACCAGTTTCATCCAAACATCTTTGGTCTTGTAAAACATTTCATATATATATATATATATATATATATATATATATATATATATATATATATATATATTATTTCAAACTAAATCACACATTGCATCTAGAAATATTTAAATTGATAATAAAACATAATTCTCATTTTTTCTCTATAGTTTAAAATCTCTCTCTTTCTCTCTCCCCCCTCTCTCTTTCTCCCCCCTCTCTTTTTCACTCTTTTATCTAACTTCACTTACTCATATTTCCCTCTCTTTCTTGTCTCTCGCTCATCCTTGTGTCTCCCTTTCTTTTTCTGGGTATGATATATATATATATATATATATATATATATATATATATACAGACCCACAGAACCACATATATATATATATATATATATATATATATATATATATATATATATATATATATATATATATATATTCATACACCTGCAGTTAATATTTCGGTCTCTCATGTGGTACGACGTCATAGAACCCCGTTATGAATTTACGACCTGTGCCTGCTATTCCGTGACCGTTATCGCTGCATAGCAATTTTTATCTCAACATAACATAATATCATCTTTGACGATGAATATCATTGTTTAAATGTCTGTATAATCACTCTAAATATGGATCATGTGAGCCCAAGGCTTATATCAAGGAACAGCTTAACATAAAATATCCAAATGTGGGATAATTTTTTAAAGCAAACATACTAAGAACGGCTCATGATCAAACATACTAGACATTCATTGTCTGTTCATTTTAACAATATATTATATATATATATATATATATATATATATATATATATATATATATATAAAGTGTACGCACCAAATTGAACTAATTTCCAACGCAATTATGTTGAAAACTACTGTGCTTAGGTTATTCTCTAGACTTGAGTCCATCAATGCTAGCTGGAAGTGAGGTGGAGGGAGCATAGACCAGTCGTTTCACAAATCCCCATAAAAAGAAATCACTCGGGGACAGTTCCGGTGAGGGCAGTGGCCATTCCATCCGAAAACTCTCTTCATCTTCGCCACGCCCGATCCATTTCTCAGACAGATTCTCACTGAAATAATCACGTCCTGTCCTCTTCCATTAAATATAAAATCTTGATCTGTTTCTATACATTCTGCGAAAATTTGAGGTTATTTTAACAAGAATTGCCAAAATTATTGGCCTGCGAAATGATGTCAAATTTTTTGGGACACCCTGTGGGGTATATATATATATATATATATATATATATATATATATATATATATATATATCGAGATCTAACACTAATATTCCATGGTTATAATTTATTAAATTGAATCGTAATCGCGATCTAAATCACAATTTGTAGGTCTGATGAATTGCATCGTGATTACGATTCCAAAGTAATAAATGATAACCATGGAATATTAGTTTTTGAGCCTTTTATATTATATTCTTTCGCTGTTTTGGACATTGAACTCAACCTGGATTCTATCCTCTTCAATAATATATATATATATATATATATATATATATATATATATATATATATATATATATATTGACCATTCATATTCTATCTATCTATCTATCTATATATATATATATATATATATATTATATGTATTATTTATATATTATATATGCGCGTTACTTATTTGAAAGCGCTCAATATCAGTAATAAAGCTAAAATACTTAGTTAGATTGATGTGAGTTTGTGACCCTGGTTTCACGCTTTTTGCGATCATCAAAACTCACATAAAAATATATATATATATATATATATATATATATATATATATATATATATATATATATATATATATATATATATATATATATATATATATATGGCAAGAAAAATATTGAAGGTTGATTGGGTCAGTGGATTCGGCGAGCTAAGTTAATGCTAAATGGTGAAGGCCAGCACCCCCTGCTCTCTTTTCCTATTTTGGCATTGTACCACATTTTTTTTTATAATAAAAAAATATGCAAATAAGATATTTTTTAAATAAAAGTCTACATGACTGGCCTGAACTGTAAATTTCTAGTTTTTATATGATTATGATTTTAGGCACTTATTGTACTTACGTATTTTTATTTGTAAGCGCCATTTTACTTGGCGTTCAAACCAGCCTTTCTCAACGCCCAAGGAACATGTCGCGCGACCTTCACCAACGGTTTATCACCAATGCAATATTCTACGCTACTAACAAACCAAGTCCTCTGCAATCTTTTCTAACGACTCACTTGTTGGTCACAGAAAAACTGAAACAGATGGCACTGCACCATTCTGGTAAAAACCAGAGTGACACAATTTTACGAGACTATATCAATGATCACAAAGAAAGTGTTAAGCCTGCGACAAGACGCGTGTCACAAGAATCGGTGGTTGTGTTTGCTATGTTGGTGTTTGTTGGGCTGCTCATTTGCGCAGTTTTCTCTGTCGCAAACCAATCTGCTAGGACCAGAAGTAGCTCAGTAGGGTCGTCTTTCGATATCTATGAAGGTAACCCGTATAGACTGGATCGTCACAGACATCGGAATAGGTCTGCCAGAGCGCATTCGCCAAGTTAATCCTGGCAGGGATGTAGAATTTGTAGAAATGATAACGAGAAATTGAAAATTCGCTGAAGAACTCTCTCAAGTTAATCTTTTTTTTTTCTTTTTAGTTTCAAGAACAAGAATTTTGAAAGCGTGGTAACATTTTAGTTTCCAGACTTGTTTCTTTATCTTTCTAAGTCGGTAACAAATCCTGGCATAAAAACGCGTAAATTTAAATCGTAAATATTTAATATTAAACTTATCTTTTTCGCGTGCAATTTATCCAGTCTTGCTAAATGATGAAACGGTACCGGCATTTTTAATAATTGCTACTGTAAGTTTTAATCTGTTATTTAAACATTGTATATAAGGCTTTAATTTTAATTCTTTTTTTTTTATTTTTTTTAACTCACAATATTTCAGCTACGAATAGAAAAGTGCTATATATGGTCTGGTGCCCCATATGTTTGTCTCAAGGTTCTTGATAAGATCCAGAGACGGATATGTAATATAATTGGCCCTGATCTGGCATCTCGTCTGCAGTCGCTCTCTCACAGACGTGCCGTTGCCTCTCTCTGCCTTTTTTTACAAATATTTTCACTGTAACTGCTCCGACGAGCTGCTTTCGCTGGTTCCCAGACTTCATGAATTTAAGCGTTCAACTGGGCTGGCATCTCGCTCTCACCCTTTCACTGTCGAAACTGTTAAATGTAGCCGTCTCTCCTACTCAGCATCTCTCGCACCTCTCGTCTGTGGAACTCCCTCCCCTTTTCCTGTTTCCCTGATAGCTATAATCTCCAATTATTCAAATGTAATGTCAATCAACGTCTCCAGATGCCCTGATCTATCCCCTATCCTTCTTTTCATCCTTTCATCTTGCGTTCTCGTGGCCTTCCGCCTTGCTTGGGGTGAAACGCTTTAAAAAAAAAACAAAACAAAACCGTGGACCGAGGTTTTTTTTTTTTTTTTTATAATTTTTTTTTTAACCCTTTCTACTGTTAAAATTCGACAACCAAATGTTACAGATAATCGGATACCTTAATAAACCAATCGGGCCGAGTAACGACTTCAACGGTTACTAACTTGACACTTCCCTGTACTATACAGTGTCCATAAAGTTCGTGTGCACTTTAAAAAATTACAACTTTATTTGTATTTGCGATAGAAATAATTTGTAAAAAATGTTATAAAGTTTAATGAACCTAGTTTTACGTATATCTAAAATAACTAATGTGATTTCAGGCATTACTGTAAATCAGTCGGCAAATGTTTTCCGTCAACTGCAAAATCGTATTACCCTTTGTATTACTAATGATGGAGGGCATGTGGAAACTTAAATAAAATTTCAATAAAATCTTAAACATAGATTTATTTCTTTCTAATCCTTTTTACAAATTATTTCTATCGCAATTATAAATAAAACTATAATTTTAAAGTGCACACGAACTTTATGGATACCTCGTATATTATTATTTTACCACAGTAATGCTTGGCGTGTTTCAACAAAACGCTTATTTGTTTAAATACCTTTATACAATAAACTACGACACTTTGTGAAACATAAAATCCCCTCAAATGAGTTCAGAACTTATATATATATATACAGTGTAACCTTGATATAAGAGATTTTCTCTGGTCCCAAATTAGATCCTGTGTTAATGTATATAAAATAGAGAAACCCGGATATAAGAGACTTCTTCTCCGGTCCCGACATCGCTCTTATATCCGGGTTACACTGTATATACATTAACACAGGCTCTAATTTGGGACCAGATAAAATCTCTCTTATATCCGGGTTACACTGTGTGTGTGTGTATATATATATATATATATATATATATAATCGACAATGTTTAAATGCACTCTTTCTTCATAGACGTGTTCAGGTAGCTAGTGGCTTGGAACGAACCAGGTTCGATATGATCACTACATTCCCTTTCGCACAAATCCCATCGGATATGCTATTAACCCATCTCCCCATCCGCCATTACTAGACTCTCACCTTGGTTAAAACTATAAGGGAAAGAAAAAAAATCTGGATACAAAATCGTCTATGGAGCTTTGCTGGGTTGAACAGTTCGAAGTCAGGATCGTGGCTGATTTTTTTTCAACTCTATCTTTGATGATTGGCAACCCTACCCTTAATAGTATAGTGTAGTTCGTTTTTTTTTTTTGTTTTAGTTTTTTCCCTTTAGTAAACTTAGCTAGCCTGTGTGTGCTGATTGGCCCCTTTTATTTTGTCCAGTTTTTTTTCTTTTGGTTTAATTAAACCAAATAATGTGAAATTTATATTATATCCATCATAATATTATACATTGTCATTAGATCTTTACTTTATTTCCGTTTAATTGAACCGAAGTAGTGTGTAACGAACGAAAAAAATGTCTTTATTTTCGAAATGTAAATGTCATTTTGTTTCATTTTATTTTCAGTTGCCAACATGAATTGGATGGGCAGGGGTCGCGCTTTCATTGTGGGAATAACGAATCGGTAACTGCAGTACAAAGCGCGTTCTTTTAGGCTTCTTAGACATGGTCTCCTATCTACTCGAAACATGATTTTGTTATGGGTTACCATATTCAGAGGTAAGTGAATCAGCATTGAAACAAAAATCAACTGGCCGACCTCAGACCGCCAGAACTTCAGGAAGTGTGGCAGCGTTAAATAGTCTCCACGACGTTCTTCACGGAAACACGTTAATTTCATTTTTTAAAAGGAAATGAAACAAAATGGCATCATATGTACATTTCGAAAATAAAAACACATTTTACGATCTTTACTCTATTTTGTTTTTGTTAAACTTACAAATGTGTTAGATCATCTTGCCACACCCCGTATTACACGCAAGGGGGAATGTTTTACAGCAAAATTAATTGTCCATATATTGTGGTACCCGTTCTAGGTCTGACGATAAACTACATCCGCGTCCAGGGTAAGACGGTAAACTACGTCTAACAACTAAGGCCTCTGATCAGGAGGCTTTGAGGAGCGTGGAACCACAATTGCTGGTGTTTCCAGGTCCACCCTGACCCGGGGTGGTAGCACCTGTTAGGGTCCCAGCTATGGGCAAATAGTTAACCCCGAAACTGAGGTAAAAAGCATTATAAATGTGTAAGACTAGGTTTTAATACCAGAAGTACTTTGCAAAAATTATTACCAGAAATAAATTTTTGATGAAGAAAACTATTACCAGCAATACATTTTTGAAAAAAAAAAAATACCAGAGATACATTTTTTTTAAAATTATATTACCAGCGATACATCTTTTTAAATAGTATTACCAGCGATACGTTTTTTAAAATTATATAACCAGCTATGCATTTTTGAGGAAAAATATATTACCAGAAATAGATTTTTAACAAATATTACCAGGAAAAAAACTAGTTGGTATTAAATGACCTATTGAAGTTGATATGCCGTAAAACAAACCAAACCAAGTGAGAAATATAAAAAAAAACATTATTTACGAAAATTAAATCATTCAAGATCATAAATTTCCTAAAAGAAGTTGGATTGTACTCAAAAATATGAGTAATTGAAAGATGGTTCAAATATATATATATATATATATGTATGTATAACTGCTCTGGCGTATCAAATGTAAACAAATGACGTCATATATTAAGAAATGGAGTCCGACAATTTATTTATTAAAGAGCAGTTATGAATGTACGAGATTCATGGAAGATTGAAGTTTATAAGCAGTAAATTCGACCTTGCCTACCGAACGCTCCTTTGTGGCCGAGTCGGTTAAGGCACGTCAGCGTAAATGACGGTTCCGTATAGGATTTTCTATGAAAATTTCTCGGACATTCAGGCCGGTAAATGTTATTTAATACTGTTTATTATGAACAGAGCATTTACTTAAATACTTGTATCTATAAAAAAAACGTTAAACATAAAAATGTCTTTAATAAATATATGTATACATACACACCTTTTTTATATCCAAAATATCGCTATGAATCTATTTCAAAAATTTTGTTGGCATCAAATGACCCACTGGGGTTTTGATATGCCATGAAACAAAACAACCAGACAAGCAAATATATTGTGGTACGATGTTTCTACATTCAATTTAATGGATACAGGGCGAACAATAATGGAGTCGTGCTAAATAAGGTCGTGACAAAAATCGTCAGGGATCGCTGAGCAGCGGGTTGAGAAAAAAGAAATCTGTAACCGGTAATGAAATAAACTTTTCGGTTCGAAATTTACTTGAAAGTTACGTGAGTCGACAAGCACATGAAGAAAACCGGGAGACAACGGCCGAAACGTTGTGGTAATAACAAAGATGAGGACACTAGCCAGGGGAGGGGTTTCCAAATATGCGAAAGAGGAAATAAAGGATTATTCGCAAAAATGAATTCTAAGTTTTCATTTTTTTTTTTTTTATTATTTTTCCTTTGGGGAGGTGTTGAAAAATCTATCGCAACAAAAGTGTTTTAAATCAAGATTACGTTTGACCAGTCACAGACAGATATCCCATAACCCTGAAGCCTGCGAAGAAGGCCAGCATCCACGCCTATCAAACGCTTTGGAGATATCAAGAGCCACGGCACGAGCTTCTCCGTTATTATGAAGAGCTTGGTAAACAATTTCAGTTATGGCCGTAAACACATCAGCTGTAGAACGGGCAAAGCGGAAACCATATTGTTTGTCAGAGAGCAGATCATGGGATGTAAAGTACTTAACTACTTCGGCGTTGATTAAAGCATCAAAAACTTTGCCGAAGAGGGGTAGGAGACTGATAGGACGGAAATTAGAAGGGTTAGAATGGTCACCAGAGTTCTTGAAGACATGAACAATGGATGAGGACTTCCAACAGTCTAGAAAACAAGATTCATTGAGACAGCAGTTATATAATTTTGAGAGGGCAGGGACCAGTTCAGGCGCACATTTATTCAGGACAATGGCTGGTATTCCGTCTCCACCACTAGCCTTGTGGAGGTCTAAATTAGAGATAATGCCCAATACCGATGACAGGGTTATGTGCGACTCTCTCAATAGAGCCTCGGTTCTAAGGGGGAAAT